ACGGAATGAGGTCAATATCCATCCAGGATACCCGGGCCAGGTCAATTAGAAAGGCCTACTCGCTAAAGTGTTTTAGGGAGCGTTTGAAAGTGATGAGGGGTGGTCGTTTGACCGCGGACCCATTAGGACGCAGGCAATAAGGCAGTGATCGCTGAGATCCTGTTTGAAGACAGCGGAGGTGTATTTAGAGGGTAAATTTGTCAGGATGATATCTATGAGGGTGCCCATGTTTACAGATTTAGGGTTGTACCTGGTAGGTTCGTTGATAATTTGTGTGAGATTGAGGGCATCTAGTTTAGATTGTAGGTTGGCCGGGGTGTTAAGCATATCCCAGTTTAGGTCACCAAGCAGTACGAACTCTGAGGATAGATGGGGGGCAATCAGTTCACATATGGTGTCCAGGACACAGCTCGGGGCTGAGGGGGGTCTGTAGCAAGCAGCAACAGTGAGAGACTTATTTCTGGAAAGGTGGATTTTTAGAAGTAGAAGCTCAAACTGTTTGGGCACAGACCTGGATAGTACGATAGAGCTCTGCAGGCTATCTCTATAGTAGATTGCAACCCCACCCCCTTTGGCAGTTCTATCGAGACGGAAAATGTTGTTGTTGGGGATGGACATTTCTGAATTTTTGGTGGCCTTCCTAAGCCAGGATTCAGACACTGCTAGGACATCAGGGTTGGCGGAGTGTGCTAGTGAATAACTCAAACTTAGGGAGGAGGCTTCGGATGTTAACGTGCAAGAAACCAATGCTTTTACGGTTACAGAAGTCAGCAAATGATAACGCCTGGGGAGTAGGAGTGATGCTTGGGGGCTACAGGGCCTGGGTTAACCTCTACATCACCAGAGGAACAGAGGAGGAGTAGAATAAGGATACGGCTAAAGGCTTTAAGTACTGGTCTTCTAGTGCGTTGGGTACAGAGAAAAAAAGGGGCAGGTTTCCGGGCGTTGTAGAATAGATTCAGGGACATTATGTACAGAAAAGGATATGGAAGGATATGAGTACAGTGGAGGTAAACCTAAGCGTTGGGTAACGATGAAAGAGATAGCATCACTGGAGGCACCGATTGAGTCGGTCTCCGTGTGTATGGGGGGTGGGACAAAGGAGCTATCTATGGCAGGTTGAGCTGGGCTGGGGGATCTACAGTGAAATAGTACAATAAGAAATAACCGAAACAGCAATAAGCAAGGCATATTGACATGGGAGAGAGGCATAAAGCAATCACAGGCAGTAAAGACAGGCACTGCCAGATGGGATGATAGATAACCTATGGCATTTACAAGTTTGTCTAACTAGCGCGAGTCAGTGGCTACTTTTTTTCTGTCTCTCCCTCCTGTGCCACTGGCCCCGTCCCTCCCCAGCCCTGCTGCTGTGTGCACAGTCCCTCCCGAGTCGCGCAGGCTGCGCAGAAAGCAAGCGTCCAAGTTTAAACAAATGTACAAAAAACGCATGTATTTCGACTGTCTGGATATCCCCAAAAATGTCATGATATTATTCAAATGCTGAAATTTATTTCAAATGCCGATCCTTATAATCTGGTCCATGTTAAAGAGTCACTGCCCTCCTAGAGTCAGGGCTAGCATTGAGATGCCTGGCCAAGCCTGATTTTATATTCAATGGCATGGACCAGGAGGCATCTGCTCACAATGCAGTGGTGCCCCTTTTCCCCGGGGC